ATGGTAACGGGCCCGGGCCGGGGACGGGCGGGACCCTTGGGCGCCGCTGCTGAGCGGGCTGCGCGCCCCGGCCGGCGCTGCCCCCGCTTCGGAGCTCGCCAAGCCCCCACATAAGCCCCGTTTGCGCTCGCGCTCTGAAGCACGCTCAGCTCTAGTTCGGAAGCTACTTCGGGATAGTTGGGGATGCCGCGCTTCTTCCTCGGCTCTTTCATGTTCGCGAGCTCCGTAGCCCGGGCTGCGTGCGGGGTTTGTGTAGCCAGCACTAAGGGGCTCCGACAAAGCAAGCCTTCTGTCACGAGAAACGAAATGTTTCTCAGCTATACGTGCTCGCTGCCTTCAAAGTTGAGAGGCTCGCTGCATAACTAATTCCGCAGTTTTTAAAGTGCACTTCCTTCCATAAGTGAAAGGCCAAGGAGATTAATTGCTTTAGGAAAAAAAGAAAGAAAGAGAGAAAAAAAAAAGAGAGAGAAAAGAGGGTGAGGGAGAGAGAAGAGAGGCTGCTAATCAAAACCAAACTATTTCCTTAGAAAAGACTTTATACAACTATTTAAAATATGTGCTAGTCTAGGAAAAAGAACTAAATGGAAAGTCAGGATATCTTGATACCACAGGAAAGGCTGCCTTGCCAAGAATATCTCCAAAGTTCTCTCAATCTCCAAGTCTCCTGCATTGCCTTGATTGCTGTGTTTACTTTGTGCAGCCCATCTTCTGCGCCGTGCTCTGCATGAAGCAGCAGTGCACCTGGTATAGATTGCGGTTAGCAGAAGAGGGGAAAAAGTTCATTTTTTTCCTCTCTTTCTTGATTTTTTTTTCCTTGTTCCCTGACAGAGCTCAATTCAGGACTGGGGTGAAGAGGTAGAAGAGGGAGCTGTTTACCATGTCACCCTCAAAAGAGTGCAGATTCAGCAGGCTGCCAACAAAGGAGCCCGATGGCTAGGGGTAAGTAAAGCTGGCACGATGGCACTCCGGAAGAGACTGCTCCTGGACTTTGGAGCCTGCTCCAGCGAGCTAATTCCACCAGGATAGTTGATATTAACTTAATTAAGCACTGATTGCTTTCCTCATTAAAAACAAAAATCTAGATTTGCCTGTATTGTCTGAAAGAATTCTCTTGTGTTAACTCTTCCTCTTCTGTTGATATGTGTAGCAAGGGTTTGACTGATTGAGGTGATACTTAATGCAGAAATAAGGATTTTTGTTTGTGACTTGATCCAGAAGTTGAATTCTTAACACTCTTTTCAGACCAGGCTAAGTCTGCAGGTGATGTAAAATATCTTCTTCATGGAAATGACTGGTGCTGTGGCAGTTTGAGCCACATCTTTAGGAGGCAGTTATAGCTTGGACATTCATTTGTTATGTTTATAATATAATTTTCTTCAAGATCAAAGGGAACTGAGTGAAGTAGTTCAATGTAGTATCCAGGCTGCTATTAAGGACCCTTATAACTACCCTGAGATTTATATCAAATAGATTTCTTATTAAGTGCCACGACCTAGAGCTGTGCAGCAGTGCTGAAACCACACTCAAGAAAGATAAGCAAATTTTGTCCTGCATACAGCTAAGTGCAGCTAGTGCTTATGCACTAGAATTTCCCCTCTCCATATTTCCAAGAAGTACATTGAGTTCTAATCAGAACAGATAATTTAAAATCTGCTTCCTTTGGTGAGTGGCAGATTTCCCAACTCTGCCTCCTGTTTATAGATGGATTGGAGGAAAAATATTAGAATGTATTTTTGAGCTCCTGTAAATTTCCCAGATGGTGGTTTTTGTAAGAGGTGGAGATTATTTTGAATAAGCCTGTTTTCTATAAATGTAGTTTAGAAAAAGTGAGGGGTTTTTTTTCCTGTTTTGACTATGGTTGCTCCTCGTGTGTAGAATGAGTTTGCTAGGTCTTGATCATGTTTTGAGGAGAAGAGTTCTTGTGTTTCCTGAGGTCACCACCACAGCTGGTAGTGCTGATCTTAATAAGCACAAAGGGTTGTGAGATCCTGGAAATGAGTCTTGGCAAGTAGTAGCTTTTCTAGATCAAAATCAAGCCATATTTGTGGGGAAGGGGTGCATGTGTCAGAAGTGCGCACCTGCCTGTGCAGAAATCAGTAACCTCAGCTTCCAGGCCAGCATCTTTCATGAGCAATAATTTCAGGCATGTTATTTAAAATTATCTGTAAACCTATAGTCTTTTCGTTCCTCTTAAGCACTTCAGAACATAAAATATTTTAAGCTGTCTTTGTGGTCTTGATTTATTAATAGCTTTACTGTGGTCCTAGAGTCGATAAATAGCCAGTAACCCAGAACATTATTTATGAATAGGCACTGAAAAGCAGAATCTTCTTTATAATTGTCCTCAGGTAATTTCTGTGTCTTTTTTTTTTTTTATCTAGAACTGATAAGGTTTATGATGTTGATGTTTTTCAGTGCTTTGAAATTCATAGCCCTGCTGGATTTAATCAATGCTGCTTTTGCTTTTCTTCTTGTTGTTGCTCTAAATCGTGCTTGGGTTGAAGATTCAAGATCAAATTAAGAAGATGGGAATAATTTGTTTACACCAGCAGATATTGAGCCTTAATTTAAACAAATATAGTAACTCTGTAACTGATTAAGTTTATGTGTAATTTACTCTTTAAAGGCTTTCAATATCTGGACATCTGAGAAGTGTCAGTTTGTATCCTGTAAAAGTCCAGTTAGCAGTATGACTTTCTTGGAATCATTAAGCTTCTCATCGTTTATTGCAACAGGTCAAGTTCCTAGTGACTTAACAGGCTGAAGTCCTTGTAAATGAGAAGTGTTGATGTTGCGTGTGAATATTAAGTATTGTGTGGCACTTTTCATCAGTAGTGGTTTGATCAGGCGCTCTTAGAACAGATAGTTTTTAGAGGTACTGCACAGTGTAGGACAGTGTGCTAAAAATTAAATGATTGACTACATAAATAATAAAGAAAGAAGAGACAGAGTAGTTTACAGCCACCCCAACTAATGAACATTTTTGACAGTCAACAGAATTGAACCTATGTGGTAGCTGTTACTGCCAGATGATCCCTTTATCAAGTAACCAACCGATCCAATGAGAGGTGATGCTGCTTAATGAGGCTTACCTTAAGTCACTTTTTCAGAAGATGATTGAGTTAAATGGAAAGGTAAATAAAGTAGGGCTGCTAGGTGATTGTTTTTACAATCACACACTTAGAAACTAAGAGAAATAGTTGGTGAAGTCACGTGAAGTAGGAAGTTCAATCAGTTGAATGTGCATTTGGAAGTCTGAATCTCAAAATTGCAAGCACTACCTCGTCTTTAAGAAGGAGCTTGGGGGAGAAGAAAGCTTTTTATTTATTTATTTTTAATTTTCTTTCTGTTCAGAAGCTAGATTTTGAGAAATAGAGTCAAGCTCTTGTCGCTAGAGAAAGCTTTATCTTAAGGGTTAAAATAAAAGTTGCCAGAAGTCAAGCCGTGCAAAGCAAATGAAAGTAAACAGCCAAAGGTTTGTCAGCCGTTTAAGAATGACAACAAAAAAGAATGAACAAAACCCAATAACAACAAAAAATGAAATAAATTAGTTTTTGCCTTTTACTATAAGGATGACAAAGGTTCCTGTGGATGCTGATGCTGATAGTGACACAAGGGGCTTTGGCACATCTTTGCCTAACAGCTTGACAGCTTGATGTGTCCAGCCTGGGAGCTGGATAGTTTCCATCCCTGAACTACGTATGAGCTGGTGTGTGAAATGGCAGTGCAAGGGCAAGGAGTTGTTGTATAGCTGCCAGGTCACAAATGATGTGTGACTGGAACATGGCAGATGTACTTCCTGGTTTGGAAGTAGAGAGGGATGCTCTGTGATAGAGAGGTGTGATCCAGGTAAACTGAAGGTGTTAGTCTCACTCATATAAGATATGTGATTTTTCTGGTCACTCTCTGGACAGGCTGAGGACACATGAGGAAGGTAGAGGACCTGTTGAGAAGAGCTCATGCAACTCAAGCTGAAAGAGGAACTCCTGGGATATAAACAGGTGCCTGCTTGGGTTGTTCCCAAGGCTAAGCTGCTGTCTTATGTTTATTAAGTCATTGACATAAAAGCAGGAGTTTGACAAAATCTGATGATCTAGTGGAGGAAGGGAAACATCCTGCGATCGACATTCAGAATTGGTGTAACAGAAATGAAGTAGCACAAAATGCAGAGACACATTTGTAAATTAGTGAAAATAATTTCTGCTCTTGGCTGGTATTTTTGACTTTTATTTTCTCTTCCAAGTTTGGGTATATTAATCATAAGATATATGAGCTAAAAACATGATATGAAGTGAAAAACGCAAATGTGGTGCTCAAATATTTTAGATTATTGCCAGTGCAGACAGTAAGCATGAATAGCATTATATGGTGTATTACAGTGTGTAGCTCTGGTCAGTCATTTCAAGAAAGTTGGTTTAAACTGAAAGGGTACAGAAGAGGTTGCAGAAGAGAAAATTATCAAGAAAATTATGCATATGTCTGATAATAGTCAGAAGAGTTTAGTCTGATTAGCTTAGCAATATGAAGACTGCCATTAAAAATCATGAAGTAACCACTGGGAAGGGAAAAGAACCATTCATGCTAAAGGAATGAGTATAAATTAGAAAAAGGTTTCAAATCATCAGAGCAATGAGATGGTGGAGAGGCACTTGAGCAAGAGTGAAGGAAGCAAAGAACCAGACAGCATCAACAGTGGAGGTACCTCAGCTGAAGAAGATTGTGATTTCCTTTGATAGCAGACTGCAGCGTCTTCCACTTGTAGGTTTCTAAGTCAAATGGAAATGTTAGGGCCGGAAAATATGCTCAGCTCAGGAGCTTCCAGGCTGGTGAAGAAGAGGTGTGACAGTAGTGCTTAGTTAAAGGTGGACAGGTCTTGGAGCCTGGTGCTGGAGAGACCGCAATGTGAAGAGGAGGTGCTGATGACTGTGATGATTTTAGATTTAAAGTAGATGTCCTAGTGCCAGCGAGAGGCACATGGCAGCGAGGAAAGGCTGGGAGGTGGCAGCAGTGAGAAGGGAGGGTGCATGGAGAGAGTGCTTTGGTCGAATGTTTGAATTTGCGTTGGTGAGAGCAATGAGGAGCAGTGAGTGCAGAAGAGCAGTGGATAGAGGTGTTGAACACTATGGGTGTGGAATTGGGGGGGCAGTGCTGTGAGAGCAGACAGGCTGCTGTGAAAAAGTGGTGAAAGGCATGGGTGAGGCTTGGGCAGACGGACAAGAAGATTACACAGTGAAAAGCATGCAGTTTTCCAAGCACTGCGCGCTGTGCTTTGTAGACCTCCCCCTTAGGCAGTGCGAGTGCTTTATCTCACCCGTCCAGGGGTTAGGGAGGGGTGGGCGAGTGGTGTCCAGCACTTGGAGTCCGAGGGGAAGCAGGAAGGAATGAGGCTGTGAGACTGGAGAGGCTCCCAAGGGCTTGCAAATATTTCTCCCACCAGAGGAGTTTGCTTTGCCCTGTGATGAGTGAGGAAGAGCCCTGCGCTCTGCCTCTGAGCGGAAAGCTTTTGTCAGTGCGGGTTAGAGGAAGTGCAGCCAGGAGTGGGAGTGCTCCTAAGCCTCCATACAGTGGAACAGCCATATAAAACCTATATCTTCACATTTTAAATGATAACTAAGCTTTGGGAGAGTCACCAAGTCTCAAGTTTCTTGCTTTACTGATGGATGATTGCTCTGTCTGTCTTAGATATCCAGATAACAGTGAAATAATCTGCTCCCTCGTGGCCAGTGCTGTTTGACTCTGCCATTGGTCATACTGATAGAACAGATTTAAAGACATTTTTGTTTGGGTTTATTTTTTGTTTGTTGGCCCTTGTGTTTGCTTTTTCAGAGGTTGATTCAAAATATTATTTGTCTCAAGGTATCTTTGATGCTATGACATTGGGCATATAGCTGAATATGTGCCTTGAAAGTAATGTATAAATGACTTGCTGTAAAACATAC